AGCATGTGGGATTGTTCATGTCAATTTTGCTTCAAGTACAAGAAAAGTTGCAAAAAGGGCTAGAGCTTGCACAACTAGTAAGAGCTGACTTTGGATCACTTCTATACATATTTGCAAACTTTGTACAAGGAAAAACACGCTTGGCTTGAACCTAAAACACTCTGAAACTGAAAAACACCACAAAACTGCCCAAGCTCACAGTTTTCTTCAAAAGCACAGTCAACTCTCATTTGGCTCGTGCGTTTTGTGTTTAATCACTTCAAACATCTCATACACTTGATACCTAGCCAATCCAAGTCATCACCCTGGTTCTGTAACCTCTGTTTCATCATCTTCCATTTTCAACTTGGAAGCTTGCAGTTGGACTTGGTCAAAGAGTTCCAGTCATCCTCAGAGCGAGATAAGCATTGGAATAGGTTCAGGGAAGTTCAAGGAAGCTTGAACAATCACCAGGCCTCCATCAAAGTCCCTACATTGTCCTACTCGATTCCAGCTGAAGAAGGTATTTTCTTAAACTCTATCTCTCTATATAGGCAACCTCAAGTCACGATTTGTGAAGGAAAAATGTAGCTCTCATCATAACGAAGTTGTACATATCATTACTTTTCATTTACATTACTTGTGCTAAGAGAATTTGAAGATTGAAAACTCTGAAAAAATTAGGTCACGAATTAGGGATTCCAAAATTCTCTTTGATCTTTAAGAGTTAGGTTACATAATTTATATGGTTGGAATCGTGAGCTCAAATGCCACATTTTCCATGTTATGAGTTTTTGTTTTTATGCAAGTATAAGCAAGATACAGGTTGAACTGGAAAACATGTGAAGAGGATAAACGAAGGACAGGGATGCAGTGGTTCTGGGTTTTTTGTTGCCTTGGCCTTTTTGTTTTTGCTATCTGCACCCCCCTGACTTGCTATTGCACCCCCTGGCTGACTTTTTATATTTTTGTATTTTTTTCTTCATATTTTCATATTTTCATATTTAATACTTTTGTTTATTTTTTCTAAATGATAAAAAATCCTAAAAATGATTTATTTATTTTCACACTTTTTATTTTATTTTTTTTTCACATAAAAAATTAATTTATTTGAATAAGATAGAATTTATTTTTCTTAAATAACTTGTAAATATAATAAAAAATACTTAATATTTTTATTATACATTTTATACTCATAAATACTTATTTTCTACACATATTTAATTTTTAATATTTAAATATAATTTTATTTATTATTTTTTATACAAAAAAATATACAAGTTAACAAGTATAGAACATTATTTTCTTTTAATTAAAAAACTAGGGTTTAAACCCCTTCCAAAAATAAATATTATTTTTTTCCTTTTTTTTAGGTTTAAATCAAATATATATTTTTTATACAAAAACAAGACATAAAACATTTTTTAACATGAACATATTGCATTGCATTTTAAATATTTGTATTATTTATTTAAACTCACGTAATTTCGATTTGGTTGTAATAATATATTTAGCTTTATATTTGTGCAAATTCCCATTCAAACTTGTATTCCCCCCTCCCATAATAATTGTTGTAATAGCTTAGTATATTTACATTACGTAATTTATCGCTTTATACCATGATTAGTAATTAGGGTTTGCATGACAAGAATAAAACAAAGCAAATAGAAAACCCTAAATACAAGACAAATCAAAAGCATGAAAAATGATACACTTTGCACACAAGCACCCTTAGGGTTTCTCCCACTTGGTTGCCTAAAATAAAATGGCCATGTTACGCATGCGAAGTATCTTGGCAAAACAAAACAAGTATAAGAACATAGTCCCTCGATGACGCTATTCAAAGGTTGCCTAAACAAAATGATCTTGGTCCCTCAAAAATGCTAAGATACTTGGCAACATTGCTATCATGGTTATACGATGACCCACGCCCGTCCCGTTTACATCCAAAGATAGGGTTGCTTACCAAATCAATGGTAAGTCAACAATGTCAAAGGAATAGAAAATGCACAAGAAAGACATTTGAGTAGGTAGATAGATTCTAAGTTACTTGATCCTTTTCAAACAATCCTTGCTATTTTCAAAAATAAATACACACACATTTCAAAACATCTTACAAAATATTGAAAAACATTTTCAAAAGACAAACATCTTTGTATACATTCTTACGAACGAGAATCATTACAAAGATTGCCTAAACGATGGCCTATTTTACAAAATACTTTCAAAATCACACCAAACACCATTTCAAACAAAGCAAAGCAAGTGATCTAAGCAAGTAACTAAGAGCCCATGGAAAACCATGGATGAAAAGGGTGCTAGCACCTTCCCTTTTCATAATCTACCCCCCAAACTCAAGAAAACATCTCAAAGGTCTTTCCTGTGATTTTTTACCTTTCCTTTTGGATAAAAGAAAAGTCGGTGGCGACTCTTGCTAACCGCGACATTTGCGATAAAACGCAAAACCTCAAGTCAGTTCTCCCACCGTATCACAGAGTCATGTGCCAAGTGCATCCAGAATCTATAATCCACTCCTTCGACGAGTTACTGCAAGTTTCGAGCAGTAACTCGTCGAAGGAGTGGATTATAGATTCTGTGCACTGCAACATGACCTTACGTGATACGTGAGACTTCAGGCGTTCAGGGAACACCTTTCTTGTGTGACCCTCCTTCTTACAATGATATCATCGAATATCAGATGCTTCATCACTACAAAACTTTTACTGACTTTTACTTTTCTTTTTGTCGAACTTATCATCCTTTTGCAAGAATTTTCCCTTAACGGCCAAACCTTCACCAACCGTAAAATGTTTATGCTCCTTTCGTTTATTCAAGTCCTTAGAATACAAGGATGATTTAACTTCTTCAAAGGTCAGGGGCTCCCTTCTATACAAGAGATTTTCTTTGAAGTGATCATGTGTTATGGGCAAAGCGCACAGCAGCAACAACGCTTGATCTTCATCATCGATATTCACATTAATATTTTCAAGATCAATAATAAGCTTGTTGAACATATCCAACTTCTCAGTCAACACTTTGTCTTCAAACTAACCAGCGATTTAGTCATCTACAAACTTTCAAGTTTCACCCATAACCCTGATGTTATCGTCTCCTTTGATACCTGTCGAAGAACCTTATCACCAAGGCTCAACAATATTTCATTGCGGGCTTTCTGTATCATTTCCATCTTCTGATCTGCCGTTAACGTATTGTTCATGGCGGCCTCTTCCTTCAACGCTTCCAAACAACTATGCTGAACTAGTAGGGCTTTCATCTTCAAGCGCCACAGACCGAAATCGTTCACTCCGATGAACTTTTCAATCTCATACTTTGTTGAAGGCATCTTCTCTATGCTCATCGCACCAATTTGTTGTGAAACACCACATCTTTGAAACAAAGTATAACTTTTCTTTATGATCAAGAAATAACTAGGATAGAAAAGGTGGAAGAACACGAAGAACACAAGGAATTGGTTATAACTGTTATTCTTTACTTTCTCTTCAAACAAGATTACAAGTACACAAGAATAACAAATAACCCTCTCACTCTAAATTAGGATTTGCAGTATGTAATGATGAAAGAGTAGTATGCTATTTATAATAAATCTAACATACTAAACTGATGGGTTTTTTCACAAATACCTATTACAAGCTAACTTAAACAATTGGACATAACAAACATCTGAAATTCGAAATACTAACAACCCTAGCATTTCGACACCCATATACTAGAACACACTTCGACTATAGTATATAGGTCTTCGACACCAGCATGTGAACATACTTCGACGATAATGCATAAATCCTGTTAAATCAGAAGCTACTCTTTAACCCAATAGAGTTCGATCAAATATCTCACATTTACATTTCAATAATTTTATTTGTGTGTTCTATAAGATCAAGTGTCATTTTAATGCCTTGAACGACTTTCCTCGCAAATCAAACTTTTATCATTCAGATTCAACCTTCAAACTTAAATCCAATTCAGAGATATTTACAAAAATATCATCAAACATTTATGTTAGAGGTTAAATATAAGACCAAAATTTAGAGTCTCACTACTCAAACATTAACTCGTATTAGATTTGGACCATTTTCCTTTACCAAAAATACCTGTAAACAACTTGAAAAAAATAATACAAAAATTTATAAATGGTCTAAATGTGTTAGTGCGTGAGATACTTTTAGTGAGGAGAGAAAAAAAGAATAATAAAGAAATAAGAATTATATTATTCACTTGAATTATACAAATAATAATACAAACTATGACTATTTATATACAACTCTAATTAGATTTGGATTTACCAACTTGAATTATTTGATATTATATCTAATATCTCAAGTACCTAATTTGAATTATATTTGATATTATATCTAATATCTCAACAAAATGAACAAATAAAAAATTATTTTTTTATAACAATGATACATCAAAGATTGTGATGGATCTACATTACTCATTGCAATCAAACAATATCACATAAAATCAAGAGATCTCATGATCCTGGTCACACCCTAAAACATAACAACCACATCATTACAATTGACAAACAAATCAGCCCACACATATCACAAAATAAAACATGAGTGCATTAAGACCAGGACATGACAATAACGCATACATTATACTTATATCTTATGCCCAAATCGCAAGTCTAGGGGACATCAAGAACCACATTGGTGAAACACCAACTCAAAGAAGTTCCATCTCAGAACTTTTTTAATTTTTTCACACATTAATACTCTTAAGACATGTTACCTAATGAAGTATCTAAGTGTCTAGAGAGATTGTGTAAGGTATAAGTCTAAGTCGTCCAATCCAAAATAAACTATGGAAAGTTTAACATACAATCAGTAATGTAAAGATCATATCACCTATTTTGTTCAAGTGATCGAACCTGTAAACATTATTTTATTCATCGAAACATTTCCCAGCTACTTGAAAATGATAGTCACCACCAGAAACTATTTCCAATTTCATAAACTCTATCACATACACACAAATCACCTAAAGTTTAGATATCAAACATTGTAGGCGTCTCTTTTGCGTTTCTTTTTCCCTGAGCTGCTTCCATCCTCAACAACAACACCCACTATTGGCTTATAACATGAATCTTTGAACAAAGAAGAACTGCACATACATATATCACACTCATTATTTTATGAAAAAATAGTTTAACAAAATTTAGGTCATATCATATGTTTTTTTCTTACTTGCTTGTCCTTATTATTTCTTCAGTTTGCTTCTCCGCAGTCATATCTGTATCCATTGTCACAACTGGAAAAAATATATTGTCAAATCAATTAAAAATATACTTATTTTTATTTGACATTTAATAAAAATATATTATTTTGAAAACTCTAATGAATACTATAATGCTAATACATCTATCTATCTATTAAACTCTTAAATCATGTTAGCTAACTATTCTTTTTTAAAAATATTTATAAATATCAACAATTTCTTTCATTATAAATATAAATAAATGTTTCCTTTTAAGATTGAACTCAAAACTAATCTTTACACTAATTTAACTCAAACTAATATATATATATATATATATATATATATATATATATATATATATATATATATATATATATATATATATATATATATATATATATATATATATATATATATATATATATATATATATATATATATATATATATAAAAGTTTAACTCCCACACTCATCCAATACTAATTAGTTACACTAATTAAAATAAGGAAACTATAGCGTGTGTTTAATCAAATATAAACTTTTGTTTTATTATCTCAAGACAAAATAAAAACAATGCAATGAGAAAAGTGCATATGTCGTTATTAATTTTCTTACTTCTTTCATATTTTGCCATCAAATATCGAGCATAACATGCATCATATTTTTGGAACCTCTCGATATGACGTTTGCTGTCAAGGAGACTACAAAATGGAGAAGAATATAGTAAGTTATTAATAATGAGGGAAAAAACTAGAAATGTTAAATCACTATTAAAGAAATATAACTATGAGATAAATAAAATATTAGTGTATTATTGATGAAGATATGTGAAAATACACTTAATAACCAAATCAAATCACTACGTACAAAATTAGAAGAAAAAAACACATTAAGCAGTTGATTTTAAATAAGATTTTTATTGTATAAAATGAAATAATATTTGGAGGATATGTAGATGACTGTCTAATTGTCAAAGAAAAAAAATAAATATTAAATCAATTTTGAGTCGAGATCATGATTTTGTAGTTGCAATTATTGTGACTAATGTGATGCGAATTACAGTCATTGTGATGTGAATTTATTTTTTACAAATATAAAATATCACTTTATTATTTATTTTATATTTCATATGTTATCCATTTCGTCTCTAAAAAAGAGAAAATAATAAAATGATAATAAATAAAGAGACTTACTTAAGTTCCTCGGAAACCGCATTGATTTGAGCACCTTTACCTTTCATATCCATCTTGAATACATGAATTAAAACATCATAAATTATGAGAAAGGAAAACTAATAACATATTGAATAGACTTTATTAAGTGATATAGTTGATGTAATATTAACTACTCACACTTGAATTTAATAATCTCTCACTCTCTCACACACATATGAGTCTATCTCATCTTATACATGCACCATCGTTATGATCAACAAACACTCTTGCTCCTGACTACACTACACCAAGAAAAACTTTCGATACAATGATCAAACACTAAAATACTACTCTTCTACCGAGTCAATCAAGATTGTGATACCACTTGTTAGAAAAATTATAGGAATTCTGAGAGAAATAACACACCAAGGCTCCACGACTACAAAAAAATAGACATTACATCTTCATACAAAATTTTAAACCATTAAATATATGAGCTACCTTTCTCACATATCTAACATTTAATTCAATTATATTTGATGTATGACTAACTTGTCACACTTGACCCAGACTCTTTTGTTAATTGACTTATATTTTTTTCATGTATTCATAACATTGAAAAACATGTTATAATGACCCTATGTTGTGACATTTAAATGCAGCTTAATTGTCTTCCATTATTATTATTATTATTATTATTATTTAAATATATTTGGGTCCAATTCAAATTCTGAGATGTTATCATAGCTTATTCTATATCTATTGTTGAGTTTCCCTCATCATCCACGCCTCAGATTCATTGAGGCTAAGCGTGAGGGAGTGTGTCAGTATTTCCGCCTTAGTTACAGTTTTCCCTTAGTCGCCTTAATTGCGGCAGTTTGATTTGCCTTCATTATAGTCTCAACACCTTAATTATGTTAGATATGAAGGGATGAATTTAGTCTCACATTGTTTAGCAATATGACATGTGTTGTGTTTATAAGTGGGGTCAATCTTCATCTTATAAACCGATTTTGTAAGAATGAGTTAAATCCAACATAAATTCTGAAAGATACTAAAAGTAAAAATTCAAGAATAAGATTTAAAAATTCAATTCAAGAAGCAATATAGAGTATATCATCTGATGGGTCTTAAAGCACAAAATAGTAAGGGAATGGATATAACAGTGTGATTAGAATAAAGAAGGTGTAACTGTATTACTATGAGATCCACAATTATAGGAATATAGGGAAGGAAGAAAAGGAAAATAACAAAACTAGCAGTAGCTACCAATTCCCAAGCACGGAGTGCTCCCAAATCACCAAAGGTGACCCCACCAAATCCTAACAGAATTCCTCTCTGATTATTCCCTTCCAGCTGTAGCTACATATAGCCACTCTCATGCACTTAATTCATTCACCGCCACGTCATCATCTTTAATTCCTTTTGTCCTCTTCCTCGTGTAAACTCTCCACACCCTTGGCCTAGGTCCCACTTCACTAATCACATTTCTATCAACTCCCGCCTCCTTAGACAATGCCTTATCCTCAAGGCAGAATTCAGGAAACTGACCACGCAAAAATTCGTTATCCTCCCATGTAACATCCTCTACAGCTTTGTTTTTCCATTGTATCAAGGACTGCTGAACTTCCTTACCTCCCTGCACTGTGACTCTTGAACCCAGCACCTTATCAGGATATACATCATTCTCCTCGGTCACCTCCAAATCTTTTGGTAACTCTCCCTGTACCTGATAGTTCCCAACAGCTTTCTTGAGTAATGAAACATGAAAAACTGAGTGAATCTTAGATGTTGCTGGAAGTTTCAACCTGTAAGCCACTTCACCAATCTTTTCTGCCACTTGGAACGGTCCATAAAATCTTGCAGCGAGTTTCTGATGAATCCTTTTCACCACTGACTGTTGTCTATGAGGTCTTAGTTTCAGAAAAACCCATTCACCAACTTCAAAACACAAGTCCCTCCTCTTCATGTTAGCATACCTTGACATTTGTTCCTGCGCTTTGAGCAAATGAAGTTTGAGTTGGTTTAGGGCCTCATCTCTTTCACTCAATTCCAATGCCACGGCAGCCACTTTCGTCTCATTAGACAGAAATCTCAGCAATGCAGGGGGTTGTCTCCCATAAACTACCTCGAACGGAGTCTTCCCAATAGATACATGAAAGGTAGTGTTGTACCAATACTCCGCCCACGAGACCCACAATGACCAAGTCTTTGGATGATCAGAAGAAAAACACCGCAAATAACTTTCCAGGCACCTGTTAACCACTTCCGTTTGACCATCTGTTTCCGGGTGATATGATGAACTCATTTTCAGTTTCGTACCCTGCAACTTGAACAACTCCATCCAAAAATGACTCACAAATAAAGGATCACGATCACTAATTATAGAGCTTGGAATTCCATGAAGTCTCACCACTTCTTTGACAAAGAGTTCAGCAATGGATTTAGCAGTATATGGATGTTTGAGTAAAACAAAATGACTATACTTGGATAGTCTATCCACTACCACTAAAACAGCCTCATAACCTTTAGACTTAGGCAACCCAGTGATAAAGTCTAAGGACAAGTCCTCCCACACAGTATTAGGAATAGGTAAAGGCTGTAACAAACCACCAGGAGTCGTAGCACTGTACTTTTGTCTCTGACAAACATCACAAGATCTGACATAATCCCTTACACTCCTCTGCATTCCCACCCAATATAAGGAATCTGCCAGTCTGCGGTATGTTCTTAGAAAACCTGAGTGCCCTCCAGCAGGAGTATTGTGAAATTCTTCCAATAGCCAAGGGATAGAGGGTGATTCGGAGGAAATCACCAACCTGCCATGATACAGTAAAACTCCTTGTTGCACCTGAAATCTAGGTCTAAGCTTAGGAGACTCCTGCACTTCTTTCATTAACATTTGAATGTACGGGACATTATTTATTTCAGTCAAAAGTTTTTGTCTATCTTCCCACAAAGGAAAAGAAATGATAGAATTCATTTCTACCTCACCATGACATCTAGACAGAGCATCAGCAGCTCTGTTTTCTAGGCCAGGTTTGTACTTGACTTCAAATTGATAGCCTAGAAGTTTGGCCAACCAGCACTGTTGATCTGGAGATGAAATTCTTTGCTGCAAAAAATGTTTCAAGCTCTTATGATCTATATGCACAATAAATTCTATGCCCAATAAATAATGTCTCCAATGCTGAATACACAACACAAGGGCCATTAGTTCCTTCTCATAAATAGATTTTGCCAGATTCCCATCAGATAAAGCTTTACTGAAGAAAGCAATAGGTTGCCTCTGCTGCATTAGAACAGCACCTATACCTCTGCAAGCCGCATCACACTCAACTTCGAAAGGTAAATCAAAATTTGGAAGAATTAGCACAGGGGGAGAAGTCATGATCCTCTTCATCTCATCAAAAGCCTTGGCAGCTTCAATTCCCCAAGAAAAATTGTCTTTCTTAGTCAAATCTGTGAGAGGTTTTGCTATTTTACCATAATCCTGGATAAACTTTCTGTAATACCCTGTGAGTCCCAAAAAACCACGTACACCCTTCGCATTCTTTGGTGTAGGCCATGCAAGAACACACTTCACCTTTTCAGGGTCCACAGCCACACCTTCTCCACAAATAATATGGCCAAGATAATCAATTTGAGCACACCCAAACCTGCACTTTGCTTGATTCGCCACAAGACAATGCTCAACTAAAACAGACAAAACCATCTTCAAATGCATTTGGTGTTCCTTGATATCTCTGCTGTAGATCAAGATATCGTCAAAAAACACCAAGACAAACTTTCTCAAATATGGCCTAAAAATGTCATTCATGGTAGCTTGGAAGGTAGCTGGGGCATTCATCAGTCCAAACGACATAACCAAATACTCATAGTGGATCATTATGTGTTATAAATGCCGTTTTAGGGATGTCATCCTCATGCACTCTAATTTGATGATATCCAGATTTTAGATCAATTTTAGAAAACATAGTAGCTCCATATAATTCATCTAACAGCTCATCGACTATAGGAATTGGGTACTTATCTGATATTGTAGCTTTATTTAAGGACCGATAATCTACACACATTCGCCAGCTCTTGTCTTTCTTCTTGACTAGTATCACAGGACTTGAAAAAGAACTCATACTTGGCCGAATGACTCCTGCTCTCAACAGCTCTGACACTTGCTTCTCAATCTCTTCTTTTTGGTGGTGAGGATACCTGTAGGGTCTGACATTAATAGCACCATGATCAGGATAAAGTTTAATCTGATGCACTTGACTCCTCTCAGGAGGTAGCCGAATACTGTCACCAAACACTGCCTGGAATTCTTCTAGTATAGGCTTTAGGCCTTTGGGAATCACTGATTGAGTTACTTCTATTGACTGTAAATAAGCCCACCACCAACCCAACTCACTTCTGCTATGAGTATTCTCAAGATAAGAGTTTAGATATCCTTTGCTGCCTTGACCTTGCAATTTTACCAACTCATTTCCATAAGAAAATTGCATAGTCATGGCCTTCCAATCCATCATCGCCTTCCCAAGAGTACTTAACCAAGCAACTCCTAACACCATATCCATTCCTCCTAACTCCAACACCAGCGCATCTACAATCACTTCAATCCCTCCCAGCTTCATATTGATCCCTTTACACACTCCACTTGTTATCACTTTATGACCATCACCAAGCTTGATACTCTTAGCTGCTGTAGGTGTAATAGCAAGACCCAAAGCAGTAGTCACTTTGGGAGAAATGAAGTTGTGACTCGCACCGCTATCAATCAACACTAATAAGTCTACGTTATGTATCTTCCCTTCAACTTTCATGGTGTGAGATTCACCCATGCTTCCCAATACCCCCATCAGTTTACATTCCACCTCCACTTCTTCTTCACTTTCCACCGTCACGTCTTCCATACTAACAATTTCCCCTTCGTCTGTCATAGTCTCACCCTCTCCCAAGATTAAAACCCTAAGAGCTCTTTCTGGACATTTATGTAACGTAGGGTGGTATTTCCCCCCACATTTGAAACATAGACCCTTCGCTCTCCTTTCTTCGAATTCATCATTATGGAGACTTCGTACTCCCTTCCATCTCTCCG